CTTTCTACCAGACTCTAGGATGCCATGCTACTTTGCTTTCTTTGACAAAAGTGTACAGCCCCCATTATGCTGCAGGTGCTATTTACTGCTGCACCTTAAATAACCACTCTGGTTCTTATGCTTTGTATTAATTCTCTCCCTCATCCCTGACCTGAAAGGGCCCAGATTTCCAACCTCTAATTGAATGCCCACAGAATGGGTTCTCTAGACTCCCCCAGGTTTCTTTCATTTCTTCTAAAATCCCCATCTATGCCCACCAATTTCTCTTAAAAACTTGAGCACTGCCTCTTTTATTCAGTTGTTCAGAGCTTGTTTCCTTGCAGGTTTTAAACATGCACGATGGGCTTGCTATGTACTCCCTTTTCAGTGAGTGGCGCAGTAAAGCCAGATTTGTTTGCACACAGCATGGGGGGAGGTTGTCAAGGGATCCCAAGGAGTCAAGAAAATCCACGATACATTAGGGGAACATGGCACATGAGCAATCTGTGGTGAGAATCCAGGATTCACATGTAAACAGATTATTTAAGGACAACGAGGCAGCGAGAATACTCTCCATATCTATCTCACATGGCACTGGTGCACCTAAGCGGCTCTCTTCCCTGAAACTGAATGTGCTGTACAGATGGCTGCACTACGCCTCCACCTAAGTGCTAAAATAAAGACCTACCCCCTTGTTTTAATATCTTGAAAAGCCAAAAAAAAAAAAAATTAAGAGAGTAGAAGTGTGTGATTCAATTTCTTGGACAAAACACATGTTCAAAGTTCCATACCATTTTCTTAAGGCAAAGGAAATTAGGCCTCGCTGCAATTATTATCATCAATCTGTAATTTCCAAGAAGTGTTGTATAGCGCTTTCTATTAATTTAGCAATTCTTTAAAAATTAATAAGTGTTTTTAAAGGACAATCTTTAAATTTTAACCTGTGTTTTTTTTTTTTTTTAAATGTATTTGGTACAGGGTCTCCTACACAGCTCAGACTCATAGCGATCCTCCTGTTTTCAGCCTCCTCAGCATTGGGATTGCAGGTGTGTGTCACCATGCCCAGACTTCACCTGTGTTCTTGATTTATTGAGTTTTGTGGAGTTGAAAAGTAACAAATACCACAAAAATGCTTCTAATAAAAGAAAGTAGCCCTTTTCCTCACCCACTTAATCCAGCTCCCACCGCACAGCCTTATTCTATGCAAACAGTTGTAGCTACTTATTCTGGTATTTCTCAGAGTTATAAATAATACCTGCAGGCTGTTATTTTTCCTTTTAGAAATTATCCAAATCATAGAAATTGCAGTTTCGGCTCTCTCCCCATCATTCTCATGTTTCTTCTGTCATCTCAATGACAGTTAATAAAAAAATTCAAGCTGGTAGTGTTTACAAATATTGTATATTGAATATGTAATCTCTATATGTATTAAATACCATATTATATATTACATATTAATTTGGTTCATTTGCAAAGGAATGTGGTTATTCTTCCTTTACTTTATCATCTATATTTGTGTTTCCCTGTAGTTAAGAACTTCAGATAAAATTCGCTTTGTTTTTTAATATATCTACTGCTATTTTTGTGCGTTCTTCTTATTGATTATCAAAAACAAGCAGCACTATTTCCAACTGTCAGGCACATTACAATTTGACACTCCCCATATCCTTCTGCTTAGGTTTTCTTCATAGTTCCTATCTTGGGAGATTTTAAACTATTTCACATTGATTCCTGAGTATTTATCTGTTTCTTGGTTTTCTTCTTTGCAACAGCTATCAAGAGAAGGGATGTGGCCAGTAATTTTCTATTCTGCTTAATTTTCTCAAGAGAACAAAGTGACTGCTTAAAATGTGGTCTCTTTCTTGGAGCAAAGCACAGAGTAGTTAAGGACAGGCTCTGGATACAGGCTGCCTGTCTCCAAATCCTGGCCACACTCTTCCCAGCTGAGCAGACTTGAGTAGCCTTCTCCATTCTTCTGTGCCTTAGGTTTCTTATCTGTAAAATGGGTTAATCACAGTGCTGGGCTGGGGAGATGGCTCAGTCGAATAAGCGCTTCCCTGGCAAGCTCAAGGCCCTGAGTTCAATCCCCGGGTCCAAAAAAAAAAAAATCAGTACTTCCCTTACGGTGTTGTGAGGATCAATGGAATTCAGTCACGCAAAACACTGTAACAGTACCTGATGGGAAGTCAATGATCAGGAAGCAAAGGCCAGTGATGGTGAACCTTTTAGAGCATTCAGTGCTCTTAACAGCCTGCTGCGGCACATGTGCCATACGTAGGGTTGCCACTACTGGCATAAGATGTTGTGATTAGGGCTGAGGAGCTAGCTCGGTGGTCTAACACCTGCCTGGCAAGTGCAAGGACCCGAGTTTGATCCGCAGTACTGCTGTGTCAAGACCAGATGTGGTGGCACACTCCTGTAATCCCCACGCTGGGGAGGCTGAGATGGGAGGATCATTATAAATCCAAACTGCGTGGTGAGATCCTGTATCAAGTTAAAATTTTTTTAAAAAAGATGTTGTGACTGCCTGAAAGTCTTATCTTCGTTTAGTAGGCTATGTTATATTTGCCTTTTCTTCCTAACTTTTTTCCTTGTCTTTCCCACTCCCTCTTTTTTGGTGTGTACTTTCTTTTGTTTCAGTCACATGCTAAGTGACCTGGGATGTACATACTAATGAATGCACATTCATTCTTGGCCTATCATCTGTCCCAAACAGTGCTTCATTGGGTTTTATTTTACCTTCTACCTAGAAGATGGAGTGCATGTCCCTGGTTTTGAAGTCTTACCTGATCTCTTAGCTGCCCAGTGGGGAGGAGCCTGAAGCTTGGGTTAGCTGTCATGAGGCCTTCCCCTCATTCTAATGGAACAAAGGTTTCACTGAATCTGGGGCATTGTGTGTTTTGGCTTGGTACGTTTTTCCATGACTAATGGGTCTTTTCTTGGTTCAGCTGTAGTAGTTATTATTAGCAGATAATTTCTGGACTATTTATTTTAAGGAAATATGGCAAACTCTGCAATCTCTTCTTGCCTGGGAAAGAAGTCTTCTTAAAGAAAGCATCCCCAGCTAAGCAGTGGGGATTCCAAGCCTTCCTCCTGGTGGACTTCTGTTCTTCATGCTAGCACATTTACAGCAGAGAGACTTCCGAGAATTCTCTCTGTGTACCTCCATGTTCCATTTTTCTTTTTGAAGAATATATTTACTTTTAACACTTTTTCTTTAATTTGGTCCAATTTTTCATTTTCTAAATGATATTTCTTAAGTTTACAACACATGGGGGTATTTTTTTTGTTGTTGTTTTGGTGTTGTGTCACATTCATTGTCATTTTTACATTTGATATTTATTCGTATCACATAATTTGGTAGGAAGTGAATACTCTGCACCTGTAGTTACATCATCAATTTTAAAAGATGTCCCTCAGGCTTTAATTTTTAACAACAGAGAATAAATAGCATTGAAAAATCTACAGAAGAAAATTATTCTATGGGGAAAATAGTTTGTGTATCTTCCTTTATCTAAGTATATTTGGTTTAAATCATTTATGTCCCTATAAAATTTTGAATATCTGTATGACAGAAAAGTTGCTATTGATTTTTCTGTGAAGCATTTGCAGGATGAACCTTAAGGCATAAGACAGATTTTTCCATTTTTCTTCTTTGTTTAAAGCTGCTTAAATTGTTGGGTGTTTTGAGAGCCACACGAAGTTTTCTCTGCTTGACTTAACTCCATAGAGGACTCTGCCTGATGACAAAGCTTCAGGAAGCAGAAAATTAAATGCTATGTTCCATAAACAAATGCTTAATACTTATTTGCACATGCCTGACTGGTTCAACAAACAACAAGGGAGCCGAAGGGACCCCTAGTTGAGGCAGGGTTAACACCTCAAGTGGAACCAGCCAGACATGTGCTCTAGGATATGCTGCAGCAGGGTGGGAGCTGACCTGGAGGACAGACAGATCCTGGTGACATCAAGCAGAGAACAGAAGGTAGTGAGCAGGCTGACAGCAGAGGTCTGAAGCCACTTGCCAGAGGAAAAAGAGGGGAAGGGGCTATCTTAGTCACCCTTCTATTGCTGGGATGAAATGCACAATTTAAAGAAGAAAAGACTTATTTTGGCTCACAGTTCAGGGATTTTGG